TGTGCGCTGTGTTTGGCGGCACTTATTGTCTGAAAAAGAAATGCCAATCACTTATTGTCGACCAAAACAACAAATGCAATGCTGTGGTGATCGACGGCCGACGGTTTAACTGTGATTTCGTGGTCACCGACTATTCACTCACCGGTTGTGACGATAAGAGTGGCGGCGAAGCGAACGCTAAATACATTTCGCGAGCGATTCTAATCAGCGATCAGTCGATCAAAAAGGCCGACTCCGAGCACTTGTCACTCCTTCACATCCCGGCCTCCGATCAAAACAAGTCGTCAGTGTTTGTGATAGAAGTTGGTTCGTCGTGTTTGGTCGCTCCCAAAGGCCTTTGTATGTCATTGTCTTGTATTCAATCATTTATTAGTAGTTTTTATTGTTTTCTTTGTTGTGACCCAACAGTTGTTCAGTACTTGTGGTGCGATTCGTTTGGCGATAACGCGAAACACGATTTGATGCCAATCGTGAAGAAGTTGTATAACTTTACGCCCGAAAGTGATTGCGAAAAACCCAAAGCCCTGTGGAGTGTGTATTTCAATCAGATGTGCTCTAAACCCGATGTCCAGAATTTGCCCCAAAATGTTTACATAACTACTCCTCCCGTCAATGAACTCGACTTTGATTTCGCTATAAATGAGGTTTTGTTTCATTTTTCAATACAAAGAAATTGATTATTAAATGATATATAATTTGTTTGCGAACTGAAGGCCCGAACGATATTCACATCGATGTTCCCAAACGAGGAATTCCTACCGCGAGCTCCCGATCCAAATGAGTTTGCCACTCGAAGAAAACCTCGAGTTATTAGCTCTTCGGGAGTGGAATGTCTCACACATTGCCCGACAATACAAACTCATGGATCTGATGGAGTTCTTCCTCTGCAGCGGCACTCAAGTACTGACAGATCTATCGATCAATTGGTTGTATCATTAATTTGTGTCTCTTTTGATGGATCAGGTGTTCAGTGCGGGTGATCTGTGCACGCGTTGCGGTGCTATCGTTGGTCTTCCGCACAACTTCTCCTACAATACCATCGATGACGTGAAGGTGAATGAGATCTCCATTTTGGGCGTCAATGCGGCGGAACTACAGGCGGACGAAGAGTCGGCGCAAGACTTTAAAGAACTCATTGAATCGCTTGTGTTGAGCGAAAACGCCAAGAAGTTTGCCATCACTCGAGAGCTGCACATGACGTCCAACGACCGGGTGTTGAACGGCATCTTCATTGCAGTCGTCTCTCTATTCTTTGGCGTCGGAATCGGACAACAGATTATACTCTCGAGGAATATAAGGCGCAGATATTTGCTGAGTGTTTGCATTCGGTTGGTGTCGGCGGCCATCGGTTTGGCAATGTTTTTGGTGATCCGGGAAATGCTTTACTACGGATGGGACAAAGCGGCCGACGAGGCGGCCATCAAACAGGGATACGCCTACTTCGAGGGCGCTGTCGAGTACTACCAGAAGTTGATCCAAAGACAGGAAGCGTTGGATAATTTAATGGCCAAAAATAAGCTCAAAGGCGAGTCATTAAAAGATACGCTCTTGACTTTGTTTGACGTGAAGGGAGTGTCTAATAGTAAACGTCTGGAAAGAGTTCTCGAATTGGATCCGACGGACAGCGAAGAAACGCCGACTTAATATCACTTTTAATTATGATTATTTAAATTTAAAATAATTTATGTAAAATTTTTAATAAAATTAGGCTTAGATTTATAAATTAAAAAATTAAAATACGAACTAAATTAAGTTTTAGTTGAAATTACAACAAATTATGACTTACTTATTGCCAATACATGTATGTTTGGTATGATTTGATTTGCATTTCTTGTCAATACTTTCAGGAATTTTCGGAAACCAAACAAATAGCGAGTATTTTATTTAATTTATTTAATTTAACAAAATTTTCACACAACTGTCCGCTCCTTTAGCTACTAATTTGTTCACTAATTTAAGACTAGAGATACTATACATTAGTTTATTGTCAGTAATTCAATCAGAATGACTCAAGAAGTGTTTAAATTCATTCAATTTACAGTTTAAATTAACCAAATTTATTATAATTATAAATGAATTACAATATAATAGTATTTTTACAAACAGTTAAATCAATCAACAAAATCATAATAAATAAATAATACGTTAATTATAAAAACAAAACATAAATTAATCACATAATGAAGACATTCATCAAAATATAGACTGGAATTAAGAGGATTAGAGCGAAGTATGAGTATTGAAACGAGTGGTTCGCCGACCGGAATGGCGACCACATCCTAAGACCACACTTTCCTCATGAGAGCCATGGTTTGGTTGTTGACCTGCGGGCCGAACAGCGGATTCAATTGCGCCAAATACGTGGTCAACCACATGGCGTAACAGCAAACGGTTCCCACCATAAGCATCAGCTTAATGAGCGGTCGTTGGGGCGACTCCGGCAGGAATATGGGCGCCACTCCTCCTATTCCTCCAAATATCAACGTAAACAACACAAACACTGCGAAACCCATCACCACTTCTTCACCACTTCTTCGCCTCAATGTCTTTGGGGTGTCTTTGGATCAGATTTGATGTCCCGATTCAATGAGATCTGTAATCATATATGAGTTATGGGTTTATGTATTGATAGTAATGTGTTTTACTCACCGTTTTATTGCATATCAAATGTGTGTTTGAATTGCAATTAAGCCCTGATTTTGACGCCAATTGTGAGCAGTGTTTGTATTCACACAACAAATCGCAGTTATGTATTGATAGTAATGTGTTTTACTCACCGTTTTATTGCATATCAAATGTGTGTTTGAATTGCAATTAAGCCCTGATTTTGACGCCAATTGTGAGCAGTGTTTGTATTCACACAACAAATCGCAGCCAATATTATTGTGGCCTTAAATGAAGGGATCGTTTGCTAATCACATATCGATTATGTCATACACAGAGAGGCGTTGAATGTGAGACACAAAAACCGGTTAACTGCTAGTGAAATGCGCCCACAGTTAACACATTAACCGATAATAATGAGTGTTATTTAACAATACGTTAACATAACATGAGTTATGACGAGAGCACCCATTCATGAGGTGTTGTTTACTTCACACTAACACCAAATGTGCATCACTTTAACGGATCCGTTGGCCATCAGTTGATCACCTGGTTTTGGACGTCGACAACGAAGAAGTAGTAGCGGAAGCGATGGACGACTTTCAGGCGCATTACTCATGTGTGATCACCGGAACAGGTCTGACACAATCAATAGTGGCGGCGGCGATGGCCAGAGTCGGCAAATCGGTGTTTCATTGCGACCAAAACCACTTCTACTCACAGGAGTGGCAGTCAATGAATTTCACCCAAATTGTCAATTGGTGTCACTCATCGTCAGCGCCCGCGCCGACCGACACGTCCTCTCTTCCCGATCTCCATCTGCTCCAAGACGTGGAAGTGTTTCGCAACTGCTTTCGCGGCAATTATGTGACAAATGTTTGTCAGATATCGTATTTGTGTGACGAAGAGTCGGTTGATATGACGGCCGCCGCAGCCGTCGTCGCTGTGACGCCGACCGAAGTCAATGAACCCATTATTGACGGCTTAATAGTGGACGAAGTGGTGCCGCCGCCGGACGTGAGCAACGATGTAGTGATGGCCACCGCCACTGTTGATGAGGACCGACCTAAGAGTTGGTCACTCTATCAGTTCAATCTGGAGAGCCGTCAATTCAATCTCGATTTGACGCCACGAGTAATGCTTTTATTTTAAATATTTAATTGATTTGATATTCATTTTCTATGATATCAGTTGTTATACAGTCGCGGATCAATGGTTGATCTCTTGGTGTCCTCTAATATCTCAAGATATGCCGAATTTAAAGCAATTACTCGTATTCTGACCACAATTGATGATAATATGGTTGAGGTTCCGGTCAGTCGTGGAGACATATTCAACAACAAAGACGTTTCGGTGATCGACAAACGAATGCTTATGAAGTTTATGACATTTTGCTCCGAATATGACAGACATTACACCGAATATGAAAGTAATTCAATGTTTGAAATTTGTTTTAATGTGTTTTTAATCATTTTGATTGTCTTCACTGCCAGAGTATGAGAACCAACCGATCAGTGAATTCCTTTCGGCACAAAATTTGTCGTCAATTCTGCAGAAGTTTATCTTAAATGCAATCGCAATGACATCAGAAGACTGTCCCACGAAAGAGGCGCTCAAATTGATCCACAACTTCATTCACAGCGCCGGTAGGTTTGGAAACACACCGTTTCTGTTCACACTCTACGGCACCGGAGAACTACCGCAAGCTTTCTGTCGTCTGTGCGCTGTGTTTGGCGGCACTTATTGTCTGAAAAAGAAATGCCAATCACTTATTGTCGACCAAAACAACAAATGCAATGCTGTGGTGATCGACGGCCGACGGTTTAACTGTGATTTCGTGGTCACAGACTATTCACTCACCGGTTGTGACGATAAGAGTGGCGGCGAAGCGAACGCTAAATACATTTCGCGAGCGATTCTAATCAGCGATCAGTCGATCAAAAAGGCCGACTCCGAGCACTTGTCACTCCTCCACATCCCGGCCTCCGATCAAAACAAGTCGTCAGTGTTTGTGATAGAAGTCGGTTCGTCGTGTTTGGTCGCTCCCAAAGGCCTTTGTATGTCATTGTCTTGTATTCAATCATTTATTAGTAGTTTTTAATGTTTTGTTTGTTGTTACCCAACAGTTGTTCAGTACTTGTGGTGCGATTCGTTTGGCGATAACGCGAAACACGATTTGATGCCAATCGTGAAGAAGTTGTATAACTTTACGCAAGAAAGTGATTGCGAAAAACCCAAAGCCCTGTGGAGTGTGTATTTCAATCAGATGTGCTCTAAACCTGATGTCCAGAATTTGCCCCAAAATGTTTACATAACTACTCCTCCCGTCAATGAACTCGACTTTGATTTCGCTATAAATGAGGTTTTGTTTCATAAAAAGTTATGTTTCTTTAACTAATAATTTACTATATATTAAACAAACGCTTGACTTCCGGGCTTGCTATAAGTGTAGCTACAAGGGTTTGCTCCTTAAGGATGGCGCTCGAGGGCTAGGTTTACTCATTATATTTGATGGTCAGCCCAACGACGTCGAGATTAACGAACCAAACAATCAAGTGATAGCACCGGTAGTTAATAACGATCACAATTCTAATAATATTTAAATTAATTGTTAATTTCTTAATCAACGCTAAAATTGTGTTAACTATATCTGAATGGAATACAATTCTTAATGAAATTTTAAGTATAATTATTTAGAGATGTGTTTAAATACTCATAAAAGGACATATAATAAAGTTATATAAATTACAAAAGTTATAAAAATTAGCTTTATAAAAAGGTTTTGTAAGACATAAATAATCTAAACTTATTTAAAATAGTTAATAATGGGTAATAAAACAAAAATCGCTTTATTATTTTGAACATCAGTTGAATAAACAAATTAATGGATAATTAATATATTAGATGATCATAAATGGGTTAAACTCCTGAAAATAGGGCAATTATTTTATGATTGTAGGGCTTATTGTCTGTTATGTAATGCACATTACAGTTCATTTCGTTTATACTTTCAATTTATTTGTCAGTATTTAAACAAAATTTATGAGAGAAAGTCCATCACAGACTCACAGACAAAGTACACAATATGTGAAATTGACATATAGTGGATATATTGTGGTTTAAATTCATCACAAATGGATTGACTTTAAAATGAATTTTAGTAAATTTTTATCCTTTGTTTTAAAAGTGAAACTTTTATTTAAATGCATGAACTGTTGCCCAGAAGTGGTAGACATTGAGCCGTGTGTTTGTGTTCAGGAATCAGAAAATGTTATATCAATCGCTTGTGTCGGAGAAGATGTAAACGATTATAACATAAGATTTATTATTGAGAATATAAATCAATATTTACTCTCAAAATCGCAAACAATTTTGAAATTGTTTCAAATGGAGAAAACATCGATCACTGCTATTAATGAAGACGTCTTTTCAATCATACCATTCATTGATATCGAAATATATGATAATTCAGTCTTAAATTTTGACAATTTTACCGAAACTACAATATATTCAGCGATTTATACATTGAAATCATTTTACGCCTCAAATAATGACTTAAACAACAGCGAAGGCAATGAATTGATTTCAATGTTTAATACCTTTTCATTCATTGAATATTTGACTTTTAAGTCAAACAAACTCCAAAGAATATCAAAGAATTCGTTCAGAAATTCAAAGCAAAAACACTTGAAATACATAGACTTGAGTGGGAATCGGATATCATATGTCGAAGAATACGCTTTCTATGAGTTAACAAATTTAATTTATTTGGATTTAAGTAACAATAGTTTGATTGAATTGAATGCTAATTCATTGACTCTTCGCATCCCTTCCTCCACACCATTACATCTTTCGCTTCAATCAAATCAATTAACTGCTCATCAGTTGAGCGAAGATTTATTTTTAGAGACAAAACGTCCGCTGATTTTGTTCCTGCAAAACAATAATTTCCATTTTCTTCCCGAAACTGTTTTCCGTCCTCTCATTGATTCGGAAGACAACTATTTGGTTGATGTGAACGACAATCCATTCCTCTGTGACTGTGAACGACACAAATGGTTGTTCACGATATCAAAGCACTTCAGATCACGGCTTATAAACATGTATTGCAGTCAACAATCAATTTGGGATTTTGAGACTATTGTCAACAAGAATTGTATTTAAATTCTCAATAAAATATGTTTATTAATTGTCATTTAAATAATTTTTAGTTTCATATTTATATTCATTTTTATTGTATTCTTTATTTAAGCACTTTGTAAAAAATGTTTATGAATCTCAACAAAAGAAATAAAACAATAGGTATTTAAAAAACAATCTTTTGATTTGTATTGATTTCAATATAATTTAAATTTCACGTCAAAACACTCACTTCTGATTTCAAAGTTATTAAAATTGAATTTCTTATTCAAATACTTTGTTATAATTTTAGTAAAATGTTTATTAAAACCAACAAAAATATTTTGTTATTTATAAAATCTTTTTGTTAGAAAACTAATGTTAATTTATCAGCTAATTTATTTTGTTTTATATTTAATTATAGTTATTAAGTTTGGTTATCAATAAAAGATTCGGTGATTTAGGCATCAGGTCTTTGGTTGAGTGCTTTTTGCCATACAATAAGTCTAGTTTAAATAGTCGATTAAATAAAACAAAATATAAATTAATATCAATAATTCAAACCAATAGTTATTTTCTAAGCCACTAAATCCGTTCAGGTCTTTGGTTGAGTGCTTTTTGCCATACAATAAGTCTAGTGTTATATTTTGGACGCTTTTCAAGTATTGTATTTGAATGACGAGATCGGTATACAAATGCAGACAATATTTGCCGTAATATCGCAGATAATCCTTCCAATTGCTGAGAGCGCCCTTAACGGCCCAATCGGGCGCTCTTTTAATTGTGTCCACTTCTGACATAAGACGATTGGTTTCACGAATTGATGTCTCATTTAATGGCCAATATTCGTGTTTTTTGTTCAATGCATTCAATTCAGCGATTATTGGCTTAAATTGGCCATAGATTTCTATAACCCATTTTTTAATCACTTGAAAGTCATCGACTGAAGGCAACTCTCGGATAAATGGCGGAGACTTTGTTGTATAGATTTGAAGGCTTGACATAATGTAAAGACTATAGAAATAATACCAACGAATGTCATCTCCAAATCGGTTTCGTTTTGTAGGGTTGAACATAAGTATGTCATCCTTTAACATCTCTTTTAAGGCAGAAACCGTTTTATTCATATCTAAATGAGACATCTCTCGCTAGCGATACTCTGGACAAAACAATCTACACTATTGACAAACGGTCTGCAACAGTAACTTACAGAGCTTAGACAAATTGGTTAGCTAGGTTAGCAGCGGCTGTTCTCAACCGTAGTCAACAACATGAATCGGAATATCGGAGGCATTGAACTGACATTTGCAGACATTTATATGTGATATAAGAGTATATAAACCAATGATTGTGTAAATGGCTTTCATTCTTCTGCCTTTGGTTTAACGATACAAATGATTTGAATGTAATTTTCAAATAATCACAACAATTGCTATTTAATGGCGAGATATTAATTAATTTAACAATTCTTGAATTTTGGTCATTATTTCGATTTCATGCGAAAACAATCAATTTGTATGAAATTTATAATTTCAAAAGCATTTAAATTATTATTCAACAAATATTTTAGTTGTTTCCCATGAAATTTCTCATTTAAATACTTTGTTATAATTTTAGTTAAAATGTTTACCAACAAAAGATAAAACAATAAATATTTTAGAAAAACAATCTTTTGATTACAAAATTTATCAGCTAATTTATTTTGTTTTATATTTAATTATAGTTATTAAGTTTGGTTATCAATAAAAGATTGCCACTAAATCCGTTCAGGTCTTTGGTTGAGTGCTTTTTGCCATACAATAAGTCTAGTGTTATATTTTGGACGCTTTTCAGGTAATCTATTTGAATGACGAGATTTGTATACAATTGCGGACAATATCTGCCGAAATATCTCAGATAATCTTTCCATTTGGGTTTACTAAGAAAGTGTTCAACAAAGACATCGGGCGATCCTCTAATTTGGTCCACTTCTGACATAAGACGATTGGTTTCAATAATTGATGTCTCATTTAATGACCAATATTCGTGTTTTTTGCGCAATGCATTCAATTTAGCAATTATTGGCTTAAATTGTCCATAGATTTCTTGAACCCAGTCTTTAATCTCTTTGAAGTTATCGACTGAAGGCAACTCTCGGATAAATGGCGGAGACTTTGTTGTATAGATTTGAAGGCTTGACATAATGTAAAGACTATAGAAATAATACCAACGAATGTCATCTCCAAATCGGTTTCGTTTTGTAGGGTTGAACATAAGTATGTCGTCTTTTAACATCTCTTTTAAGGCAGAAACCGTTTTATTCATATCTAAATGAGACATCTCTGCGATCGCTATGAGACCTGTTTTGTTAGATGTGATAACTGTTTGCCAGACGTTGTCATTGAATGTCTCGAATCTGTTTAACCAATCGATCCAATCGTCGCCGACAAGAGTTGGCATCAGTTGTTGTAAAATCGGAATATCGGAAACATTGAACTGACATTTGCAGACATTTATATGGGATATAAGAGTATATATAACAAGGATTGTGTGAATGGCTTTCATTCTTCTGGTTTAAAGATACAAATAATTTGAATATTGTTTTCAAATAATCACAACAATTGCTATTTAATGGCGAGATATTTATGAATTAATTTATCAATTCTTGAATTTTGGTTATTATTTCGATTTCACGAGAAAACAATCAATTTGTATGAAATTTATAATTTCAAAAGCATTTAAATTATTATTCAACAAATATTTTATTTGTTTCCCATGAAATTTCTTATTCAAATACTTTGTTATAATTTTAGTTAAAATGTTTATTAAAACTAACAAAAGATAAAACAATAAATATTTTAGAAAAACAATCTTTTGATTACAAAATTTATCAGCTAATTTATTTTGTTTTATATTTAATTATAGTTATTAAGTTTGGTTATCAATAAAAGATTCGGTGATTTAGGCATCAGGTCTTTGGTTGAGTGCTTTTTGCCATACAATAAGTCTAGACTTATATTTTGGACGCTTTTCAGGTATTGTAGTTGAATGACGAGATTTGTATACAATTGCGGACAATATCTGCCGAAATATCGCAGATAATCCTTCCAATAATTGAGAGCGCTTTCAACGATTAATTCAGGCGTTTCTCTAATTCGGTTCACTTGTGACATAAGACGATTGGTTTCACGAACTGATGTATCATTTATTGGCCAATATTCGTGTCTTTTTTTCAATGCATTCAATTTAGCGATTATTGGCTCAAATTGTCCATAGATTTCTATAACCCACTTTTTAATCTCTTGAAAGTCATCGACTGAAGGCAACTCTCGGATAAATGGCGGAGACTTTGTTGTATAGATTTGAAGGCTTGACATAATGTAAAGACTATAGAAATAATACCAACGAATGTCATCTCCAAATCGGTTTCGTTTTGTA